AACCATTCAACTTAGACATAGCTGTCTCATTGTCTAGGAATCTTTGCAAATGCTCCTCTTCTTAGCTTCCTTGCAAGGCTGTTTAGGATAGGGGCTGGCTAAGGAATTCTGGGAGTTGAAGTCTACAAGTCTGAAAGTTGCCAAGGTTGGAGACCCCTGGTTTAGGAGATAAACTATACAGGTAGACCTCAACTTACGACCACAATTGGGACCAGAGTTCCTGTTGATAAGCAAGGTGGTTGTTAAATGAGTCGTTGCCCAATTTTATGAGCTGTTTTTTTGCCATGGTTGTTAAATGACTCACACTATCGCTAAGTGAATCTGGCTTCCGTCGTTGACTTTGCTTGTCAGAAGCCGGCTGGGAAGGTCACACATGGCAATCATGTGACCCTGGGATACTGCAGCCATCATAAATACATACTGGTTTCGAAGCACCGGGATTTTGATCACATAACTGTACAGGTGCTGGGATGGTTGTAAGTGCAAGGACCAGTCAGAAGCAACTGTTTTCAGTGTTGTTGTAACTTCAGTCGGGAATAGGAATAGTTGTAAATCAAACACGACCTGTAGAAAGGCAGTTCAAAAGAATGCAAGCGGAATCTGATCAATGATACAACAAGCATTATCAACATCGCCAGTTAGATGCCTTTAAAAAGTTTGGAAACCAGACAATTTCCCTTCCTGCTTATCGGTCTTGGGAAACGCCAGTTAGATTCTTTTGGGAAACGGTGACATAGTGTTTACACATAACAAATGCACACTCAAAACCACAAAAGGTATCTCTAAGGTCATCCAGACCATTCTTATGCAATACTATACATTACAGAGACATAGTCATCATTCTCTCACTATGTTCACAGTACACACTGGAGACCCTGTCTGTTAAAAAAACAAAACAAAAGCTGCATTTATCCAATCTGTGAAGTCTGATTCATGTTAAACTTCACTAGTTTTTTTTCCCCCATCTAACGTCTTGCAATAGAGGGAGAGAATCAAGATTGCATGAAATGTTAATAGCAGTGGTGGGATTCAGCTGGTTCACATCTACTCGGGAGAACCGGTTGTTAACCTTCTAAGCAGTTCGGGGAACCGGTTGTTGGAAGAAATCTTATTTTGTTTTTTTCCACTTTGCAGGGCTAATCCTGTAAAGAAGGCAGGAAGGAAACATTCTGGTGTTGTTTCTAGCCTAATCTTTATTGCCCTGCTTACAGAAACTGCCTCTCTGGTTAACCCTTATTACATTGTAACAGCTAAAGCAAAGCGCCCATCAATGTGAGTGACGTTGAGTTGGCCATGCCCATATGGTCACATGACCATCAAGCCACGCCTACCCAGCTGGTCATTAGGGCAGAGAACCGGTTGTTAAATTATTTGAATCCCACCACTGGTTAAGACCACTTTAAAAAGTGTGGGTAAGACCACACTTGGAATACTGCATCCAGTTTTGGTTGCCATGATGTAAAAAAGATGTGGAGACTCTAGAAAGAGTGCAGAGAAGAGCAACAAAGATGATTAGGGGGCTGGAGGGTAAAACATAAGAACGGTTGCTGGAATTGGGTATGTCTAGTTTAATGAGAAGGAGGACTAGGGGTGACATGCTAGCAGTGTTCCAATATCTCAGGGGTTGCCACAAAGAAGAGGGCGTCAAGGTATTCTCCAAAGCACCTGAGGATAGAACAAGAAGCAATGGGTGGAAACAAGCAACTGAGAACTAAGGAGAAATTTGCTGACAGTTAGAACAATCAATCACTGGACCAATCTGCCTCTAGTAGTTGTGTTTGCTTCAACACTGGAAGTTTTTAAGAAGAAATTGGACGACAATTTGTCTGAAATGAGCAGTGGGTCGGACTAGAAGTCCTCCAAGGTTCCTTCCAACTCTGCTATTCCATTATTCAATGAGGAAGAATCATGGGTTCCTTCACAATAAATCCTGCAAAAGGAATTATTCATTTTTCCGAATGCGTATCCAGCCTCACTGGCTAATATATAGTTTGGCGTATTGTGCAAAGCCAGAAAATGGTTTAATTCAGGATACATATATGTTATGAACACAATTTCTGTGTACATTGAAGTATTCCATCGTGTCTCAGGAATGATTACTTTTTGAAGCCTGGATGAATCTTTCGTACATAATCTAAGCATATTTAGTGAAGCCAGACAAACATCACTTTCCAATGCAGGAAATCCTTAATTTTGCTCACTGTACATGTAATCCTTTTGTGTAAGGTGGAGCTGAGATTCTGTTTTTTTTTCCTAGAGAGGTGTGTTTGTGTGTGTGTGTGTGTGCGTATGAGGAGGGGGTAGTGTAATTGTTCCATAGCTAGCAGAATTTTTCTTTTCCCCCCAAATGATGGCACCCTTTCAAAAATCCTCTTTTCTGATTCTCTCAGCCAGCAAGAGCTTTTATTTTCCCTCTTAGGACTGGAGAGAGTAGCGTGGGATCAACAGACAATTGAATTTTGCTTCAAAAAACTGCTTGATTTTAGTTTGAAAAATGCACAATCTGGAGAACTCAATGGACAGGGCTCTTGCCCTCCCATCTGAATTAGCATTGTGCAAAAATAAAAGAAAAAAAAAGGAAACTGCTCCGAACATTCAGAAAGTCTTATACTATACATCCAATCAATATTATTTCTTGATAGTTATACTTATTTTCTTTATCGTTATTACTTATTATATTTATTTGCAACCCATCTTGCCACGAGGAGACTCTTGCCAATTTTCTTTCTTAGGAAATATCATTTAAGAAGTTGTGGCTTCCTTAATAGTAAGTCATTTCTAAGAGGGGATGGGCAATAATGATTGTTACTGGATGAAAGACCACAAGGAAATCCCAAAGCTCTAGACTAGCCTGGGCGGCTGAAAATCATTCCAGAAAGAAAACCATTGACTGAAACAACCTAGAACTAAGGAGAAATTTCCTGACAGTGAGAACAATTAATCAGTGGAACGGCTTTCCACTAGAAATTGTGAGTGCTCCAACACTGGATGTTTTTAAGAAGAGATTGGGCAATCATTTGTCTGAAATGGTAGGGGGTTGGACTAGATGACCTCCAAGGACCCTTCCAACTCTGTTATTCTGACTGCTATATACCTGCAAAATTCCTCCTGACCACAGCTGCCACCTGCAGAAGCCATGAGTCTAGGAAGCCCCCCAAATTGCAGTCAGATAGGAAAGTGTTTTTGAATGAACTAACTGGATCTTGCTGAGATTCAGACTGTGGATCTCCCTGCCTATCTCTGGTTTGGACTGGGTGGCAAGGTGCAATTAAATAGATCAATTTCATTTAACTCAAGCAGGAAACATTCATTTCCTTATTGTTTTGTCAAAGGTGGACCTACTTACCTATATAAACCGTTCTAGTCTACAGATCAGCAACTACTGTAAAAGGTGAAAAGTTTGAAGGACAGTGAAAGTGAGAATGAAGGAAGGAAGGAAGGGAGGGAGGGAGGGAGGGAAGGAAGGAGAAAGGGAAGGAGGGAGGAGGAGGAAAAGAGAAGGGATGAAGGGAGAGAGGAAGAGAGGAAGGAGGAGGAAGGGAAGAGGGAAGGGAAGGAGGGAGGGAGGGAAGGAAGAAGATGGAAGGAAGAAAGGAAGGGAAGGAGAAAGGGAGGGAGGGAGGAGGAGGAAGGAATAAGGGAGGAAGGGAGGAGAAGGGAGGGAGGGAGGGAGAGAGAGGAAGAGAGGGAGGGAGGAAGAGAGGAAGGAAGAAGGAAGGGAGGAAGAGAGAGGAAGAGAGGGAGGAGGAGGAAGGAAGAGAAGGAGAGGGAGGGAGGGAGGGAGGAGAGAGGAGGAGGGGAGGGAGGAAAGGAAGGAGAAGGAAAAGGAGAGAGGGGAAGGAAGGAAGGAGATAAAAGGAAGGGAGGGAGAGAGAAAGAGAGGGAGGAAGAAGGAAGGAAGGAAGAGAAGGAGAGGGAGGGAGGTAAGGAAGGAGAAGGAAGAAAGGAGGGAGGGAGGAAGAGGAAGGAAGGAAGGGAAGAAGAGAGGGAAGGAAGGAAGGAGATGGAAGGAAGGGAGGGAGGGAGGAAGAGAGGGAGGAGGAAGAAGGAAAGTAGGTGGGCGGGAAGGAGAGAAGAACGAGGGAGGGAAAGAAGCAAGAGGGAAAGGAAAAGAAAGGAAAGGAAAAGGAAAGGAAAAACTGTTGATTTACACAGAACTCTTAGGCACTCTCGGCTGTGGCCTCCTGTGTTACCTCAAACTTGCACCGCTGACTTTGCCCGCCAAAAGAGTTTATACTTCGCCTCGGGCAACAACATCATCAAGAAGACCATAAAGTACCTTTGAACTTAATTAGCTGCTGGGGGAAGCCAGCCGCTCAGAGGTCCTGGAACGGGACGGGACGGGGGGGGGGGGGGGGGGGGGGGGGGAGGGGGGGGGGTGGAGGAGAGCGCAGGCTGAAGAGGAGCATCAGCGGGCCAAGCTACGCAGAGCGAGCGGGCAGGCACGGGAGGGGAGCGGAGGGGGCCAGGAAAATACCGCACCCACGAAAGAAAATCGCCCTCCGAGCCAACCGGCGGGCTATAGAGATGATTCCTTCCACTGAGTCAGAAGCGCTCTTTGCAGCTGCCGGTTGAGTAAGAGGCCAAAGGAGGGTCAAACGAAGGGGGGGGAAACAGGGGGGGGACGAGTTGGAAGTTGGGCATTGTTTTGTACTGGGGGGGGGGGTTGATTCTGGATTTCTCCCCCCCACCCTCCGCCTCTCCTCTTGCAAACCAGAAAAGAAAAAAGGAAAAAAAAAAAACCAGGCTGGTTGCCTATATAGCCAGGAGTTTTTGGGGGTGGCTGGATCTGGGTCTGTTTTTTTGGGTGGGGGGAGGACGAGGGGGGGGATGCACGAGATATTTAGCCAAGGCTTGTTCCTTCCCAGGTTCATTTCTCTCTGCCCCCCGCCCCCCCCCGATCCCAGCTCCACCAAAAGCCCACGGGGCGGGGAAGGGCGGGGTGGGGCGGGGAGTGCAAAAGGCATATTAAGAGGACTTGTCAAGTTTGAACTGCTCAGACTAGCTTCGGATAAGCCCTGGTTTGCCTCTCTTATACAGGGCTGGGAGGAAGAGGGGAGGGGGGGACGAGAGTAGAAAGGAGAGAAGGAGCAAAAAAAAAAAAAAATTGGGGTAGAATTTTATTTTTTTAAAAAACTCTGCGCCCCCTCCTCCCCGCCCAATTTGGCAAACTTTGAAGAAAACTTTTGGGGAGCCTAAAAGATCCTTGGGGAAAAAAAAAAGGACGCAGAGATATATAGATATTTTTTAAAAATAGGGTCCCGTTTCCCCTTCCACCGTCCCCAGCCCTGGTTTTTTTTGCGCAAGGATGCAACTTTTTCTCTACTTCTGCTGCTTCCTCGTCCTGCGAGCGGATTCCCGCAGCTGTAAGTAAAGGGCGCTCGGCGGGTGCAACTCGGACGGATCTCTGAATCGAAGCCGTCGCTTTTCGGGCAGAGGGTGGTGGTGGTAGTAGGGGTGGGTGGGAGAAAGGGGAGAATTAAAAACGGGGAGGGGGCTTGGAAGAAGCAGGCGGGTGGAGGCCGTCGGGACGGGAGGGGGGTCCCGTGGGGAGATGCCAATCGTGGGGAGGGGGGGGAAGCCCTGGGCTTCATAAATATCCAATAAGCCCCCCCCCTCAAGCTGAAAATGAAATGCAAAGATTTGACTTAATATTGGAATCGATTCCTTTTGTGTGTCTAATCACACTTGGCCCAAATCAAGAAATCTATTCTGTTCTTTCCTTTTTTAAGGCTGTTTCAGTTCAGGCTCCAACATTGGGCACATGTCATTGTGTAAAATAATAATCACCATCATCATCATCATCATCATAACGCCAGTAATAATCGTATTGGTGAACCTTTTTTATTTTTAATTTTAAAAAAAAGGAACTGCTGAGGAACCCGTAGATGTTCCATTTTAAAAGCAGAAAAAGAAACAAGTCATTTGCCCGCCATCGACTTTCTTTCGTGGGTTTTCCCCCCTTTTTTCCCCTCTCTCTCAATTATTCTGGCTTCCATTGGTAATTCTTTGGTTATCTTTTTTTTTAAAAAAAAAATGCCTCCGGGGATTAATTTAATCCTTCCGCACCCTTCCTCTAGATCTGACTTCTCCTTTCCCCCTCCACCCCCTAAATTATAAAACTGTCTCTGTGTGTTTGTGGGTATATGTGGGTATTGCAAAGGGAGGTGTTAAAAATTTGGAAAGCCCCCATACATCGTGTGGGTATTTAAAGAAGAGATATTTTTTAGAGAGTTAGAAAGAAATAAAACTGCCTAATCAAACACACGCATACACAAACATACACACAAACACACAATTTGTCTGTCTGTCCGCCCGCCTGCCTGCCTTCCGATTAAGAAAGAGGAGGAGAGGAACGTTTTAATTTTAGATCTGAAAGTAGTGTGGGTTTTTTTTGTTTTTTGTTTCTGTTTAAGGGAAGGCATTCAAATTCTAGGCGTCCTCTTTTATTTTGCAAGCCAACAACATTTTGCTAGGCTAGGGAGTCCTAATTGATATATATCTCCATCTTCTCTAGAAAAAAATTCTTCCTCCGCTGCACTTCCAGATCAGAGTTGGACACAGTCTTGTATTTTTGGCTGATAGGAATATTTATATATATATATATATATATATATTCTCAACATGTCAGAAGTTGGGGGGTGGAAATGGGCATCCAGCAAAACTCAAAATATGTGGGGGTGGGGAGAGGCTTACACGCATCTTTTTTAGAAAGTTTGCTCTGAGCTGATAGTGAAAAAACACCATGTTCTTCTCTGGAATTATTGTTGGGGATATATGTGTGTGCCAGGCCAGAGAGGAGGGAGAAAAATGTGAGTATTTAAAAAGCAACTTATTTAAGGAGGTAGGAACATTTTAAGGCTACCCACCCAAAGGATATTTTAGACCTGTAGTATGTAAAATGTGGAAATTGGAGGGAAAAAAATTCTTATTCCTCCTTCCCAAACTGAGGCTCTGCATTTATTAAATTATAGTAAAAGTCTGGGTGTGTTAACTAGAGAGAAATTTTTCAAGCTTCCTTGTGTATAAAATGGGACGTTCTGAATCTTAAACCCCTTCTATTGCATTAAATCCAAAAATATTAAATCCAGGATTTTTTGCATAGTTGTTTTAGTTTTAGCCATTAGAAATTTTTCTATCCTTGGTTTTAAGCATTTTTTTTTCACTCCATGTCACTCTTCATTCCAAGTCGGTCACAGAAGAATTAATTTTCCTTCTTCATCTTTCTCCAGTCCCAAATGTTTTTGCTTTCTAATGCTGGTCAGCCTTAACCCATGGCAAAAAAGGATGAGCCAGGATTAGGTTAGAGGCTTAACCAGGTCAACCATAAACCTCAGCTAATTCTTTTAGCATTATGTATGAGACTACCTTGAAATTGGGGGGGGGGGGTGTTTGAAGTTAGGACACAGAAATGTGTCAAAAATAGTGAAACATCAAAACATAGAGACAATGGTAAATAAATGATTTTTGCTCCCCCAAAAACCCCCAAATCAGAACTGCCCCAAACTGAATGTAAGAAATGTTCTGTAACATTTAAGTCATGGGTGTTTATGTCCAATGCTATGTTTTAAGGGAGAAAATGATCATTTTGGAAAGAAATTGCAGATTTGTTACTCTAAAAGGAGCACTGGTGAAGCCCCCCTACTCACCCATCCAATTCCTAGTATTTTAAGTCCCACTGCACAGACCCTGTGTGTTTCCTCTTAAATAATTATCAGGGCCCATTACGGAATTAAAGGTTCAAGTTATGTTTTCCTCTGCCTTAGTGTAGTATCCCCTGTTATTAAAAAAAAAAGTCATACCCATTTCTGTACTGTAGTAGAGCATTTCATGCAAAACTTGAGTAAAAGATTCTTATTCTTTTTTTTTGTCCCCTCTTTTTTAGAACATAAACAATCCACCACATTATTTTAATTAAAGAAAGTTTATGGACTAATAAAGGGACCCGCACGATCGCTAATTTTCATCTGCCCTAACCAGAAAATGAATGGCACGGGATGATGAGAGATGCAGTCCACAAATATCAGGTTGTGATGTCCTTCTGCATAGTTAATAGAGAAATTACCTCTTTTGCTTCTAAGGGAGTTTAAGGAATTTATATCTTACTCTGCAGAGTGGCCTTCCCAGTCTAAATATCTACTGGAAACCACACCATGGATGTCATCTTTCAGAGCACACAATTTATACAATTCTCCTCAGTTGCACAGGGATGAGATGACTTCCCCGCCCTTCTGGCTCTCTCTTTTCCCGATGTGGTGCCTTCCAAACTTCTTTTTCAGCTTTTGTTATTCCCTGCCTGTAACTGATTTGGAGATGGGGGCTGCAACCAGGCCTTTGAACGGCCCCCCTGAGGATGTACTGCAAGGGTAATTTGATTTTGATTAAATGTCCTGTCACTTAACAAGCAATTAATTAAATGCAGTTAGTATGTGATGTTCCCACATTTTAATGCAGGGCTGGGCGATGGTTTTTTGCATGCATTCCCCCAAAATTCTTGGTTATGCCGGATGTACGAAAGCAGCACCGGTCTGCAGCTCTTTAAAGCAACTGCATCTTTTCCCAGCATCACGTGACAGCTGCAGAGGTTGCATGATTCCAGAAATTGGTGCTCCCCAGCACCTTTTCTGAATTATTCCCAAACTGTTGCACAGCTGTAACGGAATTATTTTCTCTTCAGTTCCAATACTATGTGTAGTGCATTGGAATTATTTGGAAGGGCTCCAGGAGCTGCAACCAAAAGCAGGAAGCCAATAAAAACATGCAGTTTTGCACCATTTGCCCTGGCATATCAGACTAGAAAAGGTGGCCATAAATAATCCCATAGATGACGGTCGTAAACGTAGACTTAAATCAGTCGAGAGTTTGATTCCCTTTTATTGCACTCAGTTGCCTCACTTCCCACCCATCTATTTATATGGAGCCATCCATTTATACAGGGGATTTTGATAGGAATGGAAAGACTGGAGGAATCTCTGCCCTAAGGAAGGTTGAGCCCACATTTTGCTGTGACTGAAAGTGTGTGTGTGTGTTGTGAGAGAGACAGAGACAGAGACAGAGACAGAGACAGAGAAAAAGAGGGAGATAAAGAAAAAGCAAGAGAGAGAAGAGAACAAAAGAGAAAGAATGAGAGAAAGAAAGGAAGATGAGAAATATATAGAGAGAGAGAAAGAGGGAAAGAAAGAAGGAGAAAGAAAGAGAAAGAAAGAAAAAAAGAAAAAAGTATTGAAGTGGTAGCATAATTGCAGACAAAAAATAACAAATCTTCTCTAGGCTAAACTAAAATGGAGTTGGTGGTTTGGAAAAACTTAATGCCTTATTTGCTGGAGCTGGGGGGCATAAGAAAAATTAATTGCCTCCACCCTTTTGCCGGTATTCCTCTGTTGGGGCACTTTTTTTTGTTGGAAGGATCAGTCAAAACGGAAGCATGAAACAAAACAGAATGCACAGTGATTTTTATTTTTTTTAAAACCCTGAACACCCCGGCATCTCAAAATTTTATAAGAAGGCAATCCTCAAACCTTTCGTAGATGTCTGCTTGCACACACCAACCAGAGCAAGTGAATTCCCTCCAATTCTTCCCTGTTGGCTCCTGAATTTTGTTGGTTTTTTTTTACAAATGCAATATTGTAGGCATTTGTTTCTGGAGAAAATGTTATCGATTCCCTTAGACGGAAGGGAGGGTGGGTTGCTTGGGGAAGAGACGCTAGACACACATTCAATGAGAGACACAAACACACCTCGCTCTTTTATGTTTGGGACAGAAAGTTTATATTTCCACTTAAAGGTGAGAAATTTGTCTGAGAAGTGATGTTTTTAGAGAGCATGCTGTGTGCACGACAAAATTCTGGCTGTGGTTAGGGCGACTGGACACCCTCAGGCTAAAACGTTTCTCGGCAAAAACATTTCCTTTGCACTTAAGGAATGAAACTTAATGCCGGAATGGGATAGGCTGAAGAAGAAGAAAAAAATAACCTACCTGTAGGCTAGGATTTTCACTGTGGGGTTGGGCCTCACGGTGAGGAATCAGCTGAAGCCTGAGCTCCAATATTTTTTTATTTTTATATTTTTTATATATATTTTTTTATTTTTATGCTGTGGGTTTCTTTTCTCTTCATCGGCAAAAAAAAGATAGGAAACTGGTTATATATTTACCTAGGATTGAATGGCCCTGCCTGAATAAAGGAGTGGTTAGGGTTAGCTTTTGCCATCAGACTTTGCTTCTCACTTCTTGCAAACTATATTCTGACGCTACCCAAAGCTGAAAAGGGGAAGGATTTATTTTGAGATCTTGGATTTATTTTCAGCTCTTTTTCGGGTTCTGAACGGGTTAGATTTGCATCTCGTTTCATCTAAATTGGGAATGTCC